AAACAAATTATAAATTTAATTTGTTTATTTATTTTGCTGCTGCTTCTTACCCCTCCAGCAGCAAAGGGCCCTGCGTGCGGGCGCTGAGCTGCTGCAGCAGCTGCTGCGGCAGGCACAGCTGCAGCAGCTCGCAGCGCTGCTGCTGCTGCTGCCGCAGCAGCAGCTGCTGTCGCAGCAGCAGCAGCAGCTCGTGGTTCCGCAGCAGCTGCTGCTCCTTGACAGTTGCGTCGTGTGTCTCGTCTGCTGCAGCATCTGCAGCAGCAGAGGATGGCTCTCCTGCTGCTGCTGCTGCTGCTGCTGCTGCTGCTGCTGCTCCTGTGTGCAGCATGAAGACACGCTGCCAGCGGGGCACTGCTACCTGCTGCAGCTGCTGCAGCTGCTGCTGCTGCTGCTGCAGCTTCTCCCGCAGCGCCTCTTCTGTGCTGCGCTGCAGCAGCAAACAACAAACACAAACAGCAGCAGCGGGAAATCAAAGAGGGAGTGCCACTAGCTGCAGCAAATGCAGCAGCAGCAGCAGCAGCAATAGCAGCAGCAGCAGCAGCAAAGACGAATAAGGGACAGCTGCAAAGCAGCAAACGCCAGTGAGACAGTTTGAGAGACAGCAGCAAATACATCCAAACATCGGCAGCAACAGCCGCAGCCGCAGTTGCTGCTGCTGCTGTCGCTGCTGCTGCTGCTGCTGCTGCTGCTGCTGCTTTTTGCTGCTGACACTTGTAGCTTGCTGCTCTTTGTAAAGTTTGCTGATGCGCTGGAAGGCCGAGTGGTAGATAGAGCGTTGCTTAGAGACCTCACGCAGCTGCTGCTGTTGTTGCTGCTGCTGCTGCAGCAGCTGCTGCAGCAGGAGCTGCTGCTGCTGCTGCTGCTCCTCCAACTCCTGCAGCAAGCTCTGGTCCTCTGCTGCTGCTGCCTGCAACAGGAACAGCAGCAGCAAACGAAAATAAAGGATATAAAGACACAAAAAATAAAATGAAAAAAAAAGAAAAATAAAATGAAATGAAAGTCCCAAGACAACGCAGCTGCAGCAGCAAAAATGCTGCAGCAGCAAAAATGAAACAGAGACAAAAGGGAAAAAAAGACCTACGTGGAGTCTCTCTATTTGCTGCTGCTGCTCAGCGACTTGCTGCTGCAGCATTGCTGCTTCTGCTGCTGCTTTGTGTCTCTCTTCATGTGCAGAGACCAGCAGCTGCTTCAGCTGCTGCGCTCCCTGCAGCCACGCAGCAGCAGCAGCAACAAACCGAACCATGTGCGCTGCTCCTGCTGCTGCAGCTGCTGCTGCAGCTGCTGCTGCTGCTGCTGCTGCAGCTGCTGCTGCAGCTGCTGCTCGCTCAGTGTCGCTGCCGCTGCTGGAGTTGCTGCAGCAGAGCGGCTAACGGGCGAGTCCAGCAGCAGCAGCAGCAGCAGCAGCAGCAGGGGCAGCAGCGACAGCAGGACGAAAGGCAGAGCAGCTGCATAAGCAGCAGCAACAGCAGCAGCAGCAGCAGCAGCAGCAGCAGCAGCATGATGCCTACTTTTTCGAATTCCTTTGCCTCTGTCTTTTTCAGCTGCTGCAGCTGCTGCTGCATGATCTGCTGCTGCTGCTTCAGAGCAGCAGCTTCTCGTGTCTGCTGCTCCGCTAGCTGCTGCTGCAGCTGCGCCACCTCAAGCTCTCTGTCTGTCAGCTGTAAACAACGAAGAAACCTCAAAACCCTAAACCCTAAACCCTAAACCCTAAACCCTAAACGCTAAATCCTAAACCCTAAACCCTAAACCCTAAACCCTAATTCTCCAGCCCGCTGCACTGTCACCCAAACCCTGCGCGCTGCGCTCCAGCGAGTCCCCCTTAAACCCTAAACCCTAAACCCTAAACCCTAAACCCTAAACCCTAAACCCTGACTTGTAGTTCCAGCTGCAGCTTGACGTCCTCAGCCCTCGCCCTTTCCTTTTCGAGGCTTTCCAGCGCCAACTCCTTTTCCACAGCAGCAGCTTCTATTGCCTCCTGCAGCAGCAGCAGCAGCAGCAGCAGCAGCAGCAGCAGCAGCAGCAACACAGCAGCAGCTACAGTTGCGCCAGCTTCAGCAGTAGCCGCAGCAGCTTAGCAGCAGCAACAACGTAGCCGCAGAAGCGAAAATGCAGCAGCAGCAGCAGCAGCAGCAGCCGCAGTAGTTGCAGCAGCTGCAGCTGGAGCAGCAGCAGCAGCAGCAGCAGCAGCAGCAGCAGCAGTCGCAGTAGCAGCAACGGCAGTAGCAGCTGGACGGCAGCAGCAGCAGCGGCTGCTGCTACTGCTGCTCCTATCCCCCCGCTGCAGCTGCGCAGCGAAGGCCCGCCCCGTCCAGTAGCGAGGGTTTAGGGTTTAGGGTTTAGGGTTTAGGGTTTAGGGTTTAGGGTTTAGAGATTTCTTGCCTCTAGTTCTGCGGCCTCATCCCTGAGCCTTTGCAGCTGGACTTCGAGCTCATCTCGTTCCTAAATCCCACACACAAAAGCAGCAGCAGCAGCAGCAGCAGCAGCTGCTGCTGCCAACAGAATAGAACGTGCAGCAGCAGCAGCAGCAGCAGCAGCGGAAGGAGCGGCAACTGCAAGGCTGCAGCAGCAGCGGCGTCAGCAGCAGCACCCGCTACGTAGCAGCAGCAGTGAAGGCGTCTGCAGCAGCAGCAGGAGCAGCAGAACCACATGCAGCAGCAGAGCCATATGCAGCAGCAGCAGCAGCAGCAGCAGCAGCAGCAGCAGCAGCAAAGGCGCACTCTTCTAAGACTCTCCATTTCAGATGTCTCCTCTAGGCCTCGGTCTCTAGACAGTTCTGCTGCTCTCAGTCGCGCAATTTCGGCTTCGGCTTCCTCCAGCTGCAGCAGCAGCAGCAGCAGCAGCAGCAGCAGTAGCAGCAGCAGCAGCAGTAGCAGCAGCAGCAGCAACGGCAACGGCGATGCCACAGCAGCACAAGCGGTGGCACCCCAGTGGCAGCAGCAGCAAGACTCTCAGGAGGCGCACACATCAAGAAGGAGCAGCAGCAGCCGCAGCAGCAACAGCAGAAGCAACAGCAGCAGCAGCAGCAGCAGCAGCAGCAGCAGCAGCAGCAGCAGCAGCAGCAGCAAATTCAAACCTTTTTATTCAGCTCTAGGTGAGCAACCCTTGCTGCTTCTGCTCCTGCTGCCAGCAAGCGGCTGCTGCCAATGCCATCGTGGGCCCCCAGCAAGCTTCTGCCTGCTGCTGCTGCTGCTGCTGCTGCTGCTGGTGCTGCTGCTGCTTCTGTTGCTGCTGCGCCCTTCGGCGGGTTACCTGCTGCAGCAGGTGCTGCTGCTGGTGAGTCAGAGTCTGCTGCTGCTGCGGTTACGCGGAAAGAAGGTGCCTTCGCTGCTGCTGCTGCTGCTGCTGCTGCTGCTGGCTGAGCTTCTGTGTCTTCGGATGCTGCTGCTGCTGCTGCTGCCTCAGCAGCAGCAGCTGCTTCACGAGCAGACAACTGCTCTGCTGCTGCTGCTTCCGCCGCAGCCCTTTCTGCTGCTGCCTTCTCATCTGCTTCTTCTTTTGCTGCTGCTTCAGCTTCTGCTGCTGCAGCATTTTCTGCTGCGGCTGCTGCTGCTTTTTCTGCTGCGGCAGCTGCTGCTGCCTTTTCTGCTGCGGCAGCTGCTGCTGCTTTTTCTGCTGCAGCAGCTGCTGCTGCTTTTTCTGCTGCGGCAGCTGCTGCTGCTTTCTCTGCTGCTTCATCTACTTTAGCTTGTCCATCAACTGCTGCTGCTGCTGCTGCTGCTGCTGCTGCGTCTGGTTGTTCTGCTGCGAGGTCATTTGTTGCAGCAGCAGTGTCTGCAGCAGCAGCAGCTTCCTGCTGCTGCTGCTGCGCAGCGGCCTTCGCGTCGTCCGCTGCTGCTGCGCCAGCTGCAGCAGCAGCTTCTTGCTGCTGCTGCTCCTCCAGCAGCTTTGCTTCTTCTGCTGCTGCAGCATCAGCAGCTCTTGTCTCATCATCTGAATAGAATTCATCTTTTTCAGGGTCTAGTTTGTAGTAGCGGTTGCTGCCTTCGTCCCAGTAAAGGTCCTCACTCATCTTGCTGCTGCTGCTGCTGCTGCTGCTGCTGCTGCTGCTGCTAGTCCTGCTGCTGCTTGTGCTGCTGCTCCTGCCGCTGCTGCTGCTGCTGCGCGCGCGGGGCTGAGGCGCTTACATCTAGGGGGAGATAAGCCGTTGCTGCTGCTGCTTCGAAGGCGGCGGCGCCCGCTTAGTGAGCAGCAGCTGCTGCTGCTGCTGCTGCTGCTGCAGTGGACTCAGCCAGTGGTCTGCACACAAAGGCTGCCGCAGCTGCTGCTGCTGCTGCTGCTGCTCCTTCTTTCAGTGTCAACTGCAGCTGCATAAAATTGCTGCCTGCTGCTGCGTCTGCTGCCAGGTGTTCTTCTGCCGTTGCTGCGGAATTGCCGCTGCAGTTGCTGCCGACGCTGCTGCTGCTGCTGCTGCTGCTGCTGCTGCTGCCATCTGGAGCGCCTTACTAGCAGCAGCTGTTGCTGCTCCAGCTGCTATATATTCTCTAATATTAGTAGAAATTTGCTTCTTTGAATTTGCTGCTCCTGGTCCTGAGGAACGCCTCGCGGTCCGCTGCTGCTGGCGCTGCTGCTGCTGCTGCTGCTGCTGCTGCTGCTGCGGGAGCTGCATGTGCAGCGCACATTTGTTTGCTGCTGCAGCAGCAACTGGCTAGTAAAAAAGGAACCAAATGAAATGAGCTAAATTTAGCTGCTGCAACTATGCCGTTGCTGCTGCTGCTGATTTAATGCGCGGCAAGTTGGCTCACTGTTGCTGCTGCCCCTGCTGCTGCTGCTCTTGCGGCTCCCGCTGCTGCTGCTGCTGTCCCTGGCAGCAGCAGCAGCAGCAGCAGCAGCGCTTCCTTCCCAGTGCACAACTTCTCATTTATTCCTTTTATAATCTTTGTGTTTTATGCTCTTACTAATTGCCGCTGCTGTTTCGACAACAGCAGCAGCAGCAGCAGCAGCAGCAAATAAACAGGTCTTGCTGCTGGGGCCCCCAAGTGCAATCGACTTGCGTCTGGGGGCCCTCAGGGTCCGTCAGCAAAGATCCGGTCTTAGCAGCAGCAGCAGCAGCAGCAGCAGCAAGAGCAGCAACACCAACAGCAGCAGCAACTGCAGCAGCACTAGAAGCAGCCGAAATGCATCGGAGCAGCAGCGGTCCGCTGCTGCCGGCCAAGCGGAAAGCGCCTCCAGACGAGCAGCAGCAGCAACAGCAGCAGCAGCAGCAGCAGCAAGCACAGGAGCAGCAGCAGCAGCTGGCACTGCCTGTGGGGTCCTTAGAGACGCACCATCTCTACAGGCAATTGTTCCCGCTGCAGCAGCAGCAGCAGCAGCAGCAGCAGCAGCAGCGCACAGATCTTCAAGTCGTGCAGAGTCTGCTCGAGGTGACATACTCAACAGAAACGCTGCTATTTCTGCTGCTGCTGCTGCTGCTGCTGCAGTTGCTGCTGCTGCAGTTGCTGCTGTTGCCTCTGCTGCTTTCCTTGCTGTCCACGCTGCTGCGTTTGCTGCTGCACCTCCACCTCGCAGGCTCGCCTTAGCTGTTGCCGCTGCTGCTGCGCTTTCTGCTGCTGCTGCTGCTGCTGCTGCTGCGGCAGCGCTTGCTGCTGCTGCCTAACTATGCTGGGCCTGGTCTCTGGCTGCTTCCTTATGCCTTTCGTGCTGCTGCTGTCTCTGCTGCTGCTGCTGCTGCTGCTGCTGCAGCTATGTCCGCTGCGGGTGTCTGCAGCAGAACTGGTCACTGAGAAGCTGGGGCCCCGCGCTCTGCGCCTGGACGACAGCAGGAAGCAGCAGCAGAAGCGGCAGCAGCAGCAGCAGCAGCAGCAGCAGCAGCAGAAGCGGCAGCAGCAGCTCAAGCTGTCCCGCACGAAGGCCAAACGCCTTGGCCTTTTCGATGTTGCTGCAGACTTCGGGTGCAGCAGCAGCAGCAGAAGCCGCCGCAAGCAGCAGCAGCAGCAGCAGCAGCAGCTGCAGCTGCAGCAGCAGCAGCAGCAGCAGCAAAATTGTCTAGGGCTGCAGGACTTGCTGCCGCTGTTTCAGCTGTGGCAGCAGTACGCGCTGTCCGTTTGCGGCGTGGAGTCCTCAGCAGCAGCAGCAGCAGCAGCAGCTGGCAGCAGCAGCAGCAGCAGCAGCAGCAAGAGGAAGCAAAAGGGGGGGCCCCCGGGGGGCCCCCAGGGGGCCCCCAAAATGCATGCATTCAGCAGATGTGCTGCAGCAGCACAAATGGACCTTCATGGGGCTTGGGTGTCTGTACACCGCAGCCGCTGCCCCTCGCTGTGCAATCTCGCGGGCTTAGTGGTGCTGGACACGCAGCAGGTGAGGGTTTAGGGTTTAGGGTTTAGGGTTTAGGGTTTAGGGTTTAGGGTTTGGGGTTTGGGGTTTGGGGTTAGGCGGAGTGGCGCGCGCCTGCTGCTGCTGCTGCTGCTGCTGCTGCTGCTGCTGCTGGTCTGGTTGCTGCTGGTGTCGCTGCCGCTGCTGCTGCCGACCCGCGCCCCGCACCAGCTGCTGCAGCGCGTGCTGCTGCTGCTGCTGCTGCTGCTGCTGCTGCAGTGTTTGCTGCTGCTGTGCGCGGACGGCGTGCTGCGGCGCGTGCCCAAAGCTGCTGCAGTCTTTTTGCTGCTGCTGCTCGACGGCTCTTCCTTTTACCTCCAGGGGCCCCAACTGCAGCACAACCCAGCAGCAAGAAGCAAACACAAACTCAAACGCAAACCCACTATTCTCCTCTAAACTTCTACCCACAAGGGCCCCCGGGGGCCCCCAGGGGCCCCCCAGGGGCCCCCCAGGGGCTCCCAAAGGGCCCCACAGGGGCCCCACAGGGGCCCCCACAAGGTTCCCGCAGGGGCCCCCGCAGGGGCCCCCTCTATAGAGTCAGGGCGCCATCTGGGAGCCCCTTTGGGGGCTTTTCCAGGGGTTATGAGGCCCCCTATGGGGCCCCCCTATGGGGCCCCCCTATGGGGGCCCTTATGGGGCCCCCTATGGGGGCCCCCATGGGACCCCTCAGAGGGGCCCTTGAAGCTAAGTGGCTCAGCTGGGGGTCCCAGGGGCCCCAGGGGGCCCCCGAACCTCCTGGGGCCCCACGCCTAGGGGCCTCTGAGGGGCCCTTGAGGGGCCCCTGACCCTGAGAGGCCCCTAAGGGGCCCTGAGGGGCCCCTAAGGGGCCCCTGGAAGGCCCCTGAGGGGCCCCTGGAAGGCCCCTGAGGGGCCCCTGAGGGGCCCCTTAGGGGCCCCTGGAAGGCCCCTGAGGGGCCCCTGAGGGGCCCCTTAGGGGCCCCTTGTGCATTTTATTGCAGCATGCAAAGAAACTGGGGGTAGGGGGCCCCCTACCCTTGGGGTTTATTTTGTTTGAGAAAAGACCAAAAAGGAAAATAAATAAATAAATAAATAAATAAATAAATAAATAATAAATAAATAAATAAATAAATTATTTATTTATTTATTTAATATGAAGTCAAATTCGCAGACTTTCGCGCACTTCGGGGCTAAGAGCTCCCTGCTGCTGGGGGCCCCCCTGCTGCTGGGGGGCCCCCTGCTGCTGGGGGGCCCCCTGCTGCTGGGGGCCCCCTGCAGCAGGGGGGGCCCCTGCTGCTATGGGGCCCCCGCTGGCTTTTAGTTCGCTGGGTTTCTGTCGCTACTTAGGGGCCCCAGGGGGCCCCTGGGGGCCCTTTAACTGTTAGGGGCCCCTAGTGATTCTTATGGGGCCCCTTACTGGGTACTGGGGGCCCCCTTGGGGCCCCCAGTGGTGCTTAAGGGCCTCTTTCTGGGTACTGGGGGCCCCCCCTTTGGGACACCAGGGGGCCCCTGGGGCCCCCCAGGTGGCTCTAATGGAAAGGAGAGAGACGACTAGCCGTTACGGGTTAGGAGATAGGGTTTAGGGTTTAGGGTTTAGGGTTTGGGGTTTAGGATTTAGAGTTTGGGGTTTAGGGTTTAGGATTTAGGGTTTAGGATTTAGAGTCTGAAGTGTACCGTGTTTACTGTGTCGGTCGCCCAGTTTTGACTTTAGAGCTTCGGGTCTGGGATTTAGGGTTTAGGGTTTGGGGTTTATAGAGCGCTAATTTAGGGTTTAGGGTTTAGGATTTGGGGCCCAGGCACTAGGGTTTAGGGTTTAGGGTTTGTGCGTAAGGCGCGAAGACCTAGGGTTTAGAGGGTTTAGAGTCTAGGCTTTGTGAGCTTCACAATGTGATAGAGGAAAAGGCTCTAGAATTTAAGTTTTAGGGTTTAGGGTTTAGGGTTTAGGGTTTAGGGTTTAGGGTTTAGTTGCTTCTGCGGAGTCGCACAAACTCTTGCTGTCGCCCGGGGGCCCCCAGCAGTACCCAGGGGCCCCCTAGCTGGCTAAGGGGCCCCCAGCAGCAGCTGCGTGCACATGTTGCTTAATTGCTGCAGCAGCAACTCGTATTTAAATAATTAGTGCTCATTTAGAAGGGTTTAGGGTTTAGGGTTTAGGGTTTAGGGTTTAGGCCTAAGGGTTTAGGGCCCAATGGATTCGGGGGGGCCCCCTCTGCCGTGCGGAGGCCTGCGCTGGCGGCTGCTGCAGGCGTTAGAGCCTGCTGCTGCTCTCGAGCTGCAGCAGCAGCAACAGCAGCAGCAGCAGCAGCAGCAGCAGCAGCAAGGCTGCCCCGGAGACTCCTACAGACTCCTACCGCGAATCGCGCCCGACGAATTTAGCAGCAGCAGCAGCAGCAGCAGCAGCAACAGCGATTTCCCCGGCAGCAGCAGCGGCAGCAGCAGCAGTTTTCCGAGCAGCAGCAGCGGCAGCAGCAGCAGCAGATTCAGCGGCTCGAGCGCCAGCAGCACGACACACGCAAGCAGCAGCAGCAGCAGCAGCAGCAGCAGCAGCAGCGCAGCAGCAGCAGCTCCCGCAGCTGGCCCTCAAATTCCTGTGGGGCCCTGGCGCTTCTCCGAGTCGACAGCAGCAGCAGTGCTGCAGCTGCTGCAGCAGCAGCAGCAGCAGGGCCCCGTGCTGCTGCTGCAGCAGCGGGGCCTCGACTCGCTGCTCTCCGAGGGCATTTCCTCTGTCTCTACACTCTTTTGCTGCCCCCACAGCAGCTGCTGCTTAGCTGCTCACTGTGGGGCCCCAGCAGCAGCAGCAGCAGCAGCAGCAGCACTCCAGACCCTCCCGAGCCCTCCGGGCTGGCAGGCGCCCCCGGGCCTCCTGGGGGGCCCCCCGGGGGCCCCCCGGGGGGGCCCCCCGGAAGGGCCCCCGGGGAGGGGCCCCCAGGGGGCCCCCCGGGGGGGGCCCCCGGAAGGGGCCCCGGGGGGGGGCCCCCAGGGGGCCCCCCGGGGGGGCCCCCCGGAAGGGGCCCCGGGGGGGGGCCCCCAGGGGGCCCCCCTGCCCGTTTTGCTGCAGCTGTTTGCAGGGTTTTGCTGCAGTGTTGCTGAAGTGCTGCCAGCAGGTCATGACTTGGGGGCCTCTGTTGCGCTGCTGTACGAGCTGCTGACAGCACAGGGGGGGGCCCCCCCCTGTCCGCCAGACCCGCAGGGGCCCCCCGCAGCAGCAGCAGCAGCAGCAGCAGCAGCAGCAGCAGCAGCAGCAGCAGCGCTGGAGACCGTGGGGGAGCTGCTGCCGGCCCTGGGGCCCATAGAAGCCACGCGGCTGATTTGCTGCGCCCGGCGGCTGGCAGCAGCAGACAAGCAGCTGTTCCCTGCAGCGGTGCTGCAGCAGCAGCAGCAGCAGCAGCAGCAGCTGCAGCAGCAGCAGCAGAAGCAGCGCGAGCAGAACCAGCGGCACGAGCAGCAGCAGCAGCAGCAGCAGCAGCAGCAGCAGCAGCAGCAGCAGCACACCCACCCCTCGGGGGGCCCCCCAGGACCCAGGGGGCCCCCCGTCTTCCTCTCGCAGCAAACTGCTGCTGAGTACTTTAGGGCCCACGGGGTCACTTCCAGGGGGGCCCCCCTGGAGGCCCTGCTGCTGGGGGCCCCCTTGGACTTGGGGGCCCCTGGGGGCCCCCCGGAAGCTGGCGGGAGTGCAGCAGCAGAGCTGCAGCAGACCCTGCAGCAGCTGCTGCAGCAGGGCAGCAGCCAACCTGCAGCAGGTGAGTCTTTTGTCTTTTAAAAGAAAGACAAGAGCGAAAACGAGAGCAGCAGGGGACAGCAGCAAGAGATCTTTGCTGCTGCTGCTGCTGCTGCTGCTGCTGCTGCTGTGTGCTGCAGCTGCCGACAGCTCCGCTGCAGTTACCCGCGTGCTGCCCCCGGCAAAGGAGGGGAAGCCTCGCGCAACAGCAGCAGAACGTCCTGCTGCTGCTGCTGCTGCTGCTGCTGCTGCTGCTGTCCCCAGGGTCACCTTGCCGGGCCTGGGCAGCCTGCTGCAGCAGCAGCTGCAGCAGCAGCAAGAAGAGAGAGAGGGCCTCCCGTGGCTGCACCGCCTTTGCTGGGAGATTGTGGGGGGCCCTGCTGCTGCTGTTTGCTGCTTTTATATCTTTTTAATTCTTCTTTTTCTTTTTCTTTATTTTAATTTGTTTTATTTTTATTTTTCTCTTTTGGATTTGCTGCGCTGCTGCGCTCAGAGCTGCTGGCAGCAGTTCTGGGGGCTCTTGCTGCTGCTCACGAGGACGCAGCCAACGCAGCAGCAGCAGCAGCAGCAGACCCTGATGCAGCAGCAGAAGCAGCAACAGCAGCAGCAACTGAGAGTCTGCTGCAGCTGCTGGGGCCTACTCGTGTTGCTGATGCCCACAGGATAGCAGCAAGAGGAGCAGCACTAATTGACGCTGCAGCAAGGCTGCAGATGTCTACAGAGCAGCAGCAGCAGCAGCAGCAGCAGCAGAAGCAGCAAAGAACAGGGCCCACACTCATTGGAGCCTCCGTGCGTCCTGCTGCTGCTGCTGCTGCTGCTGCAGCAGCAACTGCCGCTGCTCTCTCGCGACTTGGAGCTGCAGGCATGTCTAAGCAGCGCCTCGAGAGACCAATACATTCTACTACGTTGCTGCTGCTGCTGCTGCTGCTGCTGCTGCTGCTGCTGCAGGTGAAGTTTGTTTCCGGCAAAAACCGAAAAGGCGGGGGAGAGCCGGGGGCCCCCCGGGGCCTCTTAAGGGCCCTTGCTGACGCAGGGTACTTCAAGGTGCCCAAGCCAGTAACGCCGCGTCCGTCTGCTGCTGCTGCTGCTGCTGCTGCTGGGGATCTTGCTGCTGCTGCTGCTGCTGCTGCTGGGGATCTTGCTGCTGCTGCTGCTGGGGCTGCTGGGGATCTTGCTGCTGCTGCTGCTGCTGGGGATCTTGCTGCTGCTGCTGCTGGGGCTGCTGGGGATCTTGCTGCTGCTGCTCCTGCTGCTGGGGATCTTGCTGCTGCTGCTGCTGGGGATCTTGCTGGGGCTGCTGGGGATGTTGCTGCTGCTGCTGGGGCTGCTGGGGATCTTTTTGCTGCTGCTGCTACTACTACCACCACTGCTGCTGCTGTTACTACCGCTCCTGCAACTGCTGCTGCACTGCTGCTACTACTGCTGCTGCTGCCACCACTACTACACTACCACTGCCGCTGCTGCTGCAGCTGCCACTACTGCTATTGCTGCAAGCGCCTCTACAACTGCTGCTGCTGCTGCTGCTGCTGCTGCTGCTGCTGCAGGTGGACGAGTCGCAGCTGGTGCCGATAGCTGCGTTGCCGTCGTGGGCGCAGGTGGCGTTCCGGGGTGTACGTACACTGAACGCGCGGCAGAGCGCAGTGTTTGCTGCTGCTTTTTTGTCTCCTTTTTCTTTTTTGGTTTGCGCCCCCACAGGCAGCGGCAAAACCAACATCGCTTTGCTCGCGCTGCTGCAGCAGCTCCACGAACACCGCCACCTCGCCCCAGCCAGCAGCAGCAGCCGCAGCAGCAGCAGCAGCAGCAGCCGCAGCAGCAGCAGCAGCAGCAGCAGCAGCAGCAGCAGCAGCAGCGGGGAGTTCGCGTGTCCTGCTGCGAAGCACTTCAAGGCAGTGTACATCGCGCCGCTGAAGTCCTTAGCAGCAGAAGTGACGGGGAAGCTGCGGGCAGCGCTGGGGCCGCTGGGAGTTGCTGTTGCAGAAGCTTCTGGAGATGTTTGTTTGTCGAAAAAAGAAATAGAAGAAACTCATTTGTTTGTTGCAGTTCCCGAGAAACTGGACATTCTCACGCGCAACATGAGTGCCTGGGCGGAGCCAGACCCCTGCAGCAGCAGCAGCAGCAGCAGCAGCAGCAGCAGCAGCAGCAGCAGCAGCAGCAGCAGCAGCAGCTTGTTGGACGCGATCAAGTGCGTCGTTATTGATGAAGTTCATCTTTTAAATGAACCTCGAGGGCCGGTCATTGAGGCGCTCGTCGCTCGGCTGTTGAGACACTCCGAAAGGACTCAACGCAGAGTCCGCCTCGTCGGCATTTCCGCCACTCTCCCCAACTGGTAACTAGGGTTTAGGGTTTAGGGTTTAGGGTTTAGGGTTTAGGGTTTGGGGCTGGGCGCTGGGGGCTCGGCTTCGCAGCGAGCGTTTGGGGCTGGCCGATCGGGATTTGAGCCCAGCGATATTCTGAGACCTGCGGCTTAGGGTTTAGGGTTTAGGGTTTAGGGTTTAGGGTTTGGGGTTTGGGGTTTAGGGTTTAGGGCTAAGGGTGTAGGGTCCAGGGTCCAAAGTCTGGGGTTTAGCGTTTAGAATTTGGAGTTCAGCGTTCAGATTTAATGCCCACGGTTTCGGGACCAGCGTTTAGGGTTTAGGGTTTAGGGTTTAGGGTTTAGGGTTTAGGGTTTAGGGTTTGTGCAGGGAGGAGGTGGCTCGTTTTTTGCTGGTTTCCCCGGAACACGCCTTTTACTTCGGGCCGGAGACGCGGCCAGTGCCGCTGCAGCAAACCTTCATCGGCCTCAAAGATGTGGGGCGCAGCAAGCAGCAGCAGCAGCAAGCTTTTGATGCTGCAGCATTTGCTGCAGTGCTGTCAGCAGTGCAGCGGGGGCACCAGGCGATGGTGTTTGTGCATTCGCGGCAGGGGACTGTGGCAGCAGCAGAAGCGTTTGCTGCACTTGCTGCTGCTGCGGGGCAGCAGCAGCTGTTTGCTGCTGCTGCAGCGCACCCCACGCCGCAGCAGCAGCAGCTGCTGCAGCAGCTGCTGCAGCGCTCCCGCTACCAAGAACTCAAAACCCTAGCAGCAAAAGGGTTTGGAGTCCATCATGCAGGAATGCTGAAGACAGATCGAAAACTTTCTGAACAACTTTTTATTTCCAAAGTTTTTAAAGTTTTGTGCTGCACTTCGACTTTGGCTTGGGGGGTGAACTTGCCTGCGCGCTGCGTGGTGATCCGCGGCACGCAGGTGCCCGCAGCAGCAGCAGCAGCAGCAGCGGGAGGCGCAGCAGCAGCAGCAGCAGCAGCAGCAGACTTGGGGCCCCTCGACGTGGCTCAAATTTTCGGCAGAGCCGGGAGGCCCCAGTTCGACTCCATGGGCGAAGCTGTGCTGCTCACGGAGTACAGCAAACTCACCAAATATGTCCGTCTTGCTGCTGCTGCACTTCCCGTGGACTCGCAGCTGCTGCAGCAGCTGCCTAATGCCTTAAACGCTGAAGTGGCTCTCGGCACTGTTGCTTCTTTGCAAGACGCAGCAGACTGGCTGCGCTACACTTTCCTCTTCGTCCGCATGCAGGCCCACCCGGAGCTTTACGGGGGCCCCCCGGCCTGGGGGGCCCCCTGGGGGGCCCCCGGGGGGGCCCCCGGGGGGGCCCCCGGGGCCCCGGGGGGCCCCCGGGGGCCCCCGGGGGCCCCCGAAGACCCCTCTTTGCTGCGGCTGCGGCTGGCCCTGGTGGAAGCAGCAGCAAAGACTCTGAACAGATGCAGGCTGGTCCGTTTTCACCGGAGAGCCGGGCGACTGGACTCGACGGACTTGGGAAGAATGGCAGCAAAGTTTTATTTGGATTTCGAAACAGCAGAAAAGTTCGCGCTGCGGCTCTCGGAGGGGCCCCTGACTGCTGCTGCAGTGCTGCGGACTTTGGCGGAGGCGAAGGACTTCGAGGGGCTGCGGGTGCGCCGCGAGGAGCAGGAGGAGCTGGACCTGCTGCGCTGCAGCAGCAGCAGCAGCAGCAGCAGCAGCAGGAAGGGGCGGGGCTGCTGCCGCATTCCCTGGAAGGGGGACCCCGACAGCACGGAAGCCAAAGTCTTCACGCTGCTGCAGGTGCTGCTGTCGGGGGCCCCCCTTTGCTGCTCCTCTCTTGCTGCTGATGCTCACTATGTGTTTATGAACTGCGGGCGGCTGGCGCGGGCGCTGCTGGCAGCAGCTTTGGCGGAGAGCAGCAGCAGCAGCAGCAGCAGCAGCGAAGACGCGGAGCTGCTGCTGCAGTGGTGCAAAGCCTTCGAAAGAGGCTTCTGGCCAGACTCTTGCGTGCTGCGGCACTTCTGCGCGCTGGACTGCTTCTCGCGGGACCCGCAGCAGCGGCGGCGCGCGCAGCAGCAGCTGCAGCAGCACGGCAGCAGCAGCAGCAGCAGCAGCAGCAGCAGGAGCAGCAGGAAGTTCGAACTCAGGACCCAGGCCGTCGACAAAATAGAAAAACTCCGCTTTTCGCAAGAAAGGCTGCTGGCCTTAACTGCTGCTGAACTGGGGGCCATCTGCAGCAGCAAAGCGGACGGCCAAGACGCCTACTGGGCGCTGCGGCGGGTGCCGTTTGTTGCTGCTGCTGTGTCTGTTGCTGCTCTCGGCAGCAGCATCATTCGCGTCACTTTGCTGCTGCAGTTTGCTGCTGGCTTCCAGTGGACTGCAGCAATCCACGGCGGCGGCGAGCTGTTTCACTTGTGGCTGTCGGAGGCGCGCAGCGGGCTGCTGCTGCACCAAGACACCGTGCTGCTGCAGCAGCAGCACGTGCTGCAGCAGCAAAAGGTGTCCTTCGCGCTGCCGCTGCAGGACCCCCTGGGCCAAACCCACTTCGTTGCTGCTGTCTTGAGTGACCGCTGGGTGGGCGTGGGGACGCATGTGCCTTTTGCTGCTTCGCAGCTGTTTTCGCCTGCTGCAGCAGCAGCAGCAGCAACGCCGCTGCTGGACGTACACCCCGTGCCCGTCGCTGCGCTGCAGCAACCCCGCTTCGAAGCTCTCTTTCCATTTTCTTTTTTTAATCCAATTCAATCTCAACTCTTCCACGTTTGTTACCACACGGACTACAACGTGCTGCTGGGGGCCCCCACGGGCAGCGGCAAGACCATAGTGGCTGAGCTCGCCATCCTGCGCTGCATCAAGCAGCAGCAGCAGCAGCAGCAGCAGCAGCAGCAGCAGCAGCAGCGGCTGCGCAACAAAGTCGTCTACATCGCCCCCCTCAAGGCCCTGGCAGCAGAAAGAGTTAAGGACTGGGAGCAGCGGCTGGGCCGGCAGCTGGGGCTGCGGGTGCTGCAGCTGACCGGCGACTCCGACGAGCCGCCAGCAGCAGCAGCAGCAGCAGCAGCAGCAGCAGCAGATGTCAATCCTGCTGCAGCAGACCTGCTCGTCTGCACCCCCGAAAAGTGGGACGGACTGTCTAGACAGTGGAGGACCCGCCCCTTCATCTCTCAAGTGGCACTTCTCATCATCGACGAGATCCACCTCCTCGGCCAGGAGAGAGGCGCGGCTCCTTTGCTGCTGCTGCTGCTGCTGCTGCTGCTGCTGCTGCTGCTGCTGCTGCTGCTGCTGTTGCTGCTCAGCTGCTGCTGCTGAACTGCTGCTGCTGCTCATCTGCTGCTGCTGCTCAGCTGCTGCTCACCTGCTGCTCGCCTGCTGCTGCTGCTCACCTGCTGATGCTGCTCGCCTGCTGCTGCTGCTCACCTGCTGCTGCTGCTGCTGCTGCTGCTGCTGCTGCTGCTGCTGCTGCAGGTCCCGTGCTGGAAGCAATAGTGAGTCGCATGCGTTTCGTCAGCAGCACTTCTGGAGTTTGCATGCGTTTTGTGGGGCTTTCCACCGCGCTGGCCAACGCGGCCGAAATTGGGGCTTGGCTGGGCATTGGCCGCGTGGGGCTTTTCAGCTTCCGCCCCGCAGTCCGCCCCGTGCCCTGCGCAGTCCACATCGCTGGTCAGCTAGCTAGCTAGCTAGCCAGCTAGCCACACAGCTAGCTAGCTCGCCAGCCAGCCACGCAGCTAGTCAGCTAGCTAGCCGGCCAGCTAGCTAAGCAGCTAGCCGTGTCGTCGCCGGTCAGCTGGCTAGCTAGCTAGCTAGCTAACCAGCTAGCTAGCTAGCCAGCTAGCCATCCAGCTAGCCAGCTAGCCAGCTAGCTGTGCGGCTAGCTAGCTGGCGATATGGCGAAGTAGCGAGATAGCGAGAGGGCTGACGAGATAGCTAGCTAGGTAGCCAGAGAGCTAGCTAGGTAGCCAGGTAGCTAGCTAGCCAGATAGCCAGATAGCTAGCTAGCCAACTGGCCAGACAGCTAGCTAGCCAGGTAGCTATCCAGATCGCCATCTAGCTAGCCAGGCGGTTAGCTAGCTAGCTAGCTGCAAAGGGTGCTAGGTAGATACACTTTAGCCAGCTTCTTAGTGAGTGGGCGCGAGGTGGGGGTTTAGGGTTTAGGGTTTAGGGTTTAGGGTTTAAGGTTTGCGCTTCAGGGTTTGCACAGAAGGCGTTCTGCCCGCGCATGGCTGCAATGAATAAGCCCACGTTTGACGCAATCTTGACGCATGCAGTGGAGTCCTGCAGCAGCAGCAGCAGCAGCAGCAGCAGCAGCAGCAGTTTCGTGCCTGGGGAGTATCAGGGAGTGTACAGCACGGTGTCTGCACCTGCTGCAGCAGCTGCAGCAGGAGGCGCTGCAGGGGCGTTGGGCGGCGCCGCTGCTGCTGCTTCGGCAGCAGCGGACCCCGCAGCAGCAGCAGCAACAGCAGCAGCAGCAACAGCAGCAGCAGCAGCAGCAGCAGCAACGCGGCTGCGGCCCGTGCTGGTCTTCGTGGCCTCGCGAAGACAAACTCGACTAACAGCTCGAGAGCTCATCGCGCTGCAGCACATGAGTGACAGCGGCATTTCTTTTCTTTGTTTGAAGACGCAGCAGCAGCAAACTGCCTACGCCAACGCCCTCAAGAAAGTCAAGGTCACAAACCCTAAACCCTAAACCCTAAACCCTAAACGCTCCGCGGCCCAGCGGCCCCACCCCCTCGCCCGCAGCGAGCGCCTGCGCGCCTAACGCTCGCGGGCCTAGGCTTGCTGCTGTGTTGCCAGTTGCTTCTGTCCCAGGGTTTAGGGTTTAGGGTTTAGGGTTTAGGGTTTAGGGTTTAGGGTTTGTGGGCTTGGGGTTGAGGCTTCAGGCCTTGGGCTTCGAGGGTTTCAGGCTCGGAGCCGAGGGCTGCGGCGTGGGCTCTCGGGGCCAGGGTTTAGGGTTTAGGGTTTAGGGTTTAGGGTTTAGGGTTTAGGGTTTGGGCGAGGGTGTGGGGTGTGGCTGCGTCAGGACCCCACACTGCGTTCCGTGCTGCTGCACGGGGTGTCTATACACCACGCGGGCCTCAGCCCCTCCGACCGCGAGGTGTCTGCGCAGCTCTTTTCTTTGGGCTGCGTTTTGGTTCTTGTGGCAACAGCAACTTTGGCCTGGGGGCTCAACTTGCCGGCCAGACTCGTCGTGATCAAGGTTAGGGTTTAGGGTTTAGGGTTTAGGGTTTAGGGTTTGGGGGGAGGGGGGAGGGGGGT